ACTGAGGAGAAAACCGTCCTCAATAGTGTCGTTTAAGATTTTGTAAATAAAATGGACGTCGGACATAAACGTTTGGGAACGAAGAGAACGGACAGATAAAAGTTTCCCCAAGGGGTTCGCAACAACGATCGGCGGCAATAATTAGAGGAAATTCCAGTATTAACGGATCTACGACGTTCATTTCGCACTTTTTCGATCTCGTTAATCCGGACGAGTCGGTACGGGCCGCGTGCGAGTATCGAACGGACAGGAGCAAACTGAAGTCGCACGCGATAAAAACGGTTGTTAAACGTCTCGGGCATTCCCGTTAGTAAAACCGAACGTCCGCGGCGCCCTTTGTTATAATTGCTCCAATTCAAATCCAATTTCTGCATTTTCGGGGGGGGGGAGGAGGAGGAGGAGGAGGNGGAGGAGGACCGAGTACGGCCGCCGATCAGCTCTCGTTCGGTCCGGTCGCGCTGCGGACGCCGCGGTTTCGCGGACGGGCCGCGCGCGTTACGATAAATTAACGTACACTGCCGCGGGACGCGCGCACCGGACGGGTTGGGCGGGCGCTTTGGGTTTTATAACGCGCGCGATTTACCGTTACGAAATAATTGCGGATACGAGCGTACCGAGGAGCGGGTGGGTGAGGGTTGAGGAAGAGGAGGAGGAGGAGGAGGAGGAGGAGGCACGGACTCATTTCCACACGTCTTGATAATCAATCGCGGTCCGCGCCGTACGCCGGTCGTTATACGCGCACGCACGCGCTTTTTAGCGCCGCCGACGCGTCGTCCGTGCGCTAACGTGTAATTTATCGTTCGCGGCCGTTATTTATTATGCGGGCGCATTGTTATTATTATTATTGGACCGCATCAAAGTGACAACAACAACAACAACAACAACAACAACAACAATAATAATAATAATTGCGATTTGCGACGGGAGTTCGACTCCGGCGTGTTTTCTTCGTGTCGTCGGCGAACGGGCGCGCCGTCGAATCCGATTCCCTTTCCCGTCCGGACCGACTACCGGATGCCCGAAACCCGGGTCCGTTGTTTTTCGAACCGACACGATCAGACGTTTCTCGGCGATTTCGCACGAATCGTACGCGCGTTACCGACGTTGAATTACTAAACAGACGCGAGCCGACCGCCCGTCGTGTTTACCGTGGTTGATTGGGGCGGCGGCATAAAGCCGCTAACCTCCCGGCGTGTAAACACCGTCCCCTGGTGTCGATGTACCGCGCTCGAAATTATCGTTAAAAATGTTCGTATCGCGAAAAACGTACACAAAAATGAGGCGTTGTGATCGTCGAATTAGAGTCCGGCTGGATTCTTTTTATTCTGGCCTGGCTTTTAGGCACCGGCTATAACGTGTGTGCTTCTTTGACGTTTTTTATTTGTTCACTTTCCGTTTACAAATTGTCCACCGCTAATCTTGTTCCGCTCGTCAACATCGAGGATGGTTAAGCGAGTTAGTGGGACGAGAAGATTTTTATTACGGTTTTCCTTATAACGGGGAAAACACGGGGATATTTACGCGATAACGGATAAATCATTACCGACGAAATACTATTCTGAGCAAAGTTCGGTTAAACGTCATTAACAATATCGTCAGTTTTACGGTTTTTGTCGAAATTTGAACTTCGATCCTTTATAAAAATAAACCGCTACATTATGTTCGACTTTTTGTTTTACCACTAAGCACAATTTATTAAAACCTCAAATAAAAACCAAAATCCTCAAAAACTTCCAATGTTAAAAATAGCCCAAGAATCGCCAAAAATATTTTAAACGTAATGCCTAGAAAATAATATCTGTTATATGTATTTTGTTAAAAATTATAAACCTGTATGATCATTTCCAACCACGAATTACAAAAAACAAAAATTAAATAAAAAATTATGAACTTTTCCGTTTTTTTCACAATTATTATGAAACTACAAAGAAAATTAAAAAAAAAAAAAAAAAAAACACTATAATAATATAAGATAATATGAAATTTATTAAAATATTCACAAACATTATAAACACATTATTATAATTGTAACTTTTCATTAAAGTATTGAAATATATCCATAATTATAAAATACTTAACATAGAATTAAAAACAATAAAAAGAGTATTCACGAACGAACGTTTTACAGATAATTATTTTTTTATAAAATATATAATTAGTAATTACTGTTACCGGTTTAAAAAATACATACACTCATATGTATACGTATAAACTTCCATTTCATTTTTTTCAATTATTTGTGTGTAGGCACGCGAGTTATTTTAAATTATATTTTACTTGCGTTAAATTGGTTCTACATTAAAATTTCCGCTATTAAAATATCTAATATTTTTAATTTCTTTATATGTTTGCAAAAAGTGTTCACCTATCCATGCAGTGGCGTGCGCAGGGACATGGACGCTCGCTGGCATGACATTTAGATGAAATTAAGTTTTTTTTTTTTTATATCAATAATGCGTAAAATTTTGGACTTAGGCTCCCCCACGCCGATTTATATTTCTGCTTGTGGCCTTTCACCCGACTGGGGAAGTTAGAGGTTATATCTCTTAAAAATAAAAAAATTATTATTTAGTAATTTTCTCTTCAAATCATACATAATACGTTAGGACTTTAAATTCTCATTATAGTGTCACGTTGGGCAAAAGAAGATTCTACGGTTTGGTTTCTGGGTACGTCACTGTACTTATATATATATATAATCAATAGTTATCAGAGTTTATTTGTCGACGTTTCAAATACCTAATTTACGTTCGTTTCGTTTTTCAGTAACTGCTCAAAGCGCACGTATATACTCAATGCCGTCCATACTTATCCTACTATACAATTGCTTGAAGTTTCGGTCCTGTCAGAGCCACTGTAGCTGTTTTGTCGTCGTAAACCAGGTACCTAGCTGACAATGATATTATCATTGTGTTCTTTAATGGCGTATTTTAATAATAAAAATAAATTTTCTGTAAAATGTATTGCCGATTAGCGTGTTTCAGGTATTGAATCGGCGAACACTGCTGCAGAGAAGCTCCGCAGAAATGAAATCTGTACATACACACAAGTCGAATGTTCGATTACGAGTGGAAAAATGGAGAGTGATAGTCTATAAAATCGGGATAAGTGGAGGGAGATCTTGACGATGGCCAGAACTCTTATCGAGAGTATACACTAAGTGCCAGTAAAGAAAAAAAGATATAGAAGTTGAATACTGTTCGTGATTTGTCCGAATTAAGAACAATAAGAACACAACATTGTATTATGTATCAGTCGATCACATCGAACAAGACAGACTAACTATATAGGTACCCCTGACCAACCTAATTAATAGTGTATAATTGAGTTATACCCGCAAATCGATGCGGTAATAAGTTTACATTTTGAATTAGATACGAACTATTCGAACTTTGATTTTTCCTTTTTTTTAAGTATACGTCCGAATTTAATTTGTTCAATGTCTATGTGAGGTTATATGTTACGATGGACCGCGTGTACACATCGGGAACGGTGAATTAATTGCTATGGGGTTGGTTTGAATTTAATATGTACGGCGATGAGCAGACGGGTGTCGGGCATTTGAGCCTTGCATTGAGCCGCGTATATAATAAAATTACAAACATACATGTAGTATATGTATAATATTACGTAAATAAAAAAAAAAAGTTAAAAGAAAATAGGATCGTTTTAAAAAGCTCCCACACACACACACACACACAAAACAGAATGAATATAACAGAAAGAAGAAAAAAAAAACAACGACGGCGGCGGCGGCGGACCAATCGAAAAGCGATCCGGTATGGCGAGAGGAGATCGCGGGCCGGAGAACGAGCGCGGGCGATTGTATCGTCGCGAGCCCGATAAAAAGGAAACTCCTCTTTATTCCCGGGCAGAGTAGGAGGGGCGGGGAAGAAGGTCGGTAAAGAAATAAAAAAAAAAAAAAAAAACCCGAAAAGCTTAGAAAAAATATAAAGGGAAAGGAAAAGTGACAGCGGCGGGGGCGAACGGCGTGATGGCGGCGGGAGGAAAGAAAGAATATAATATGTATGTATACGTGTGTGTGTGTGTGTGTGTGTGCGCGCGCGCGTGTATGCGTACAAGGAGGAAAGGATAAAGGAGAGTATCCCGAGATTTCGCCCCGGACGCGGGATAATGTATACGACCGTCGCGCCGCCGCCTCGCGTACCGTAGCCGCGCCGCGCTCGGCGGCGCGGATTGTAAATGCGCGAGCTTTACACATGATTGCGTCCGAACGGTTACCAATGGCAACCGTGGTGTCCCCTCGCCAACACCCTCCAGCCGTCCCGCCGCCCGTCCCCGTCCCCGCTATACGGTGTATTCCGATAACCTCCTATCCGGGGTGGCGGCGGGAGGGCGCTCACGCCCCGCCGGCCCGCGCCGCCGTGGGATTTTAATGCAACCGACTTTCATTGCGGTAAAAATAATGCCTCTCTTCGCCGCGACGCCGCCGCCGCCTCCGATCGCGGCTCGAGCGCGCGCGCGCGCGCAGCGGTAGTCCTCTCCGCGCGCGCACCGCCACCTCCCTCTGCCCGCGCCGGCGACGGAACGTATACACACACACACACACACACACACACACATATATATGTATGTATATATATACATAATATATACGCATACGTGTACGCCGGGCCCTCCGTTCGCGAAACTGCCCCGGCCCGAAAGGCACCCCCTATTCGCGAAATCGCGGGCAATAATCAATAATTATACATACGCGCGCGTATACATTATTATATACGCGTATATACGTGTGTGCGTATATATATATATATATACACACTATATATATATATATATATATGCGCACACTATAGCACCCTTGTTTCGCATTCGCCGCCGACCCTATTTGTCGCACACCTACTCCTCGTCCCGCGTGTATATGCACGGGACGATTAGCCGGTCGGCCGCGGTACCGCTCGGACTTTCGGACGCGCGCATACGTGTTCGGGTGCGTGCGTGCGTGCGTGCGTGCGTGTGTGCGTGCGTGCGCGGCGCGTTTACCTCGCCCCGGCGGGGTGCGGGGCGCGCACGACCTTTGCCCGCAGTGCCGTAAATTTCCCGCTCGCCCGCCCGCCCCGCGAACCGCGGACCCGGAGAACGCGCGGCCGTCGGACGCGCTCGCGGGGATACGCGCCGGAATACCGCGGGTCGCGTATTACGATAATTATCGTGCCACACGTGTCTTCGGGAGGGGAGGGGGCGGCAGTAGGGCGAGACGGGCTCGAGCCGATTTTCCGCGCTTTCGCCGCCGCATATAATTTCGTTCTGTCATGCAATTTTTCGCCCTTTATTCATCGACATAAATAATAATCGCAGTGCCGCGTCGGCGACACGAGCGGTAGTTTCCGGGCGAGTCAAAAAACATTTATTTGCCGAATTTTTTTTTTTTTTTTTTAAATTGGCAACTACTTAGTATTGGAGTACGTAGGATTCTTTCATCTAATACTTTTTGTTCTCGTTTGTGCGCCCTGAACATGAATGCCGATTAGCTTTTATTGTCGTTTGGACCCTGTATGATTGAAACGGCGAAACGGAAACAGTATCGTTTATACGCGAAACTTAAAATTCGAATTGTTCGTTAAACAACGGTCACGGCTGTGTTTTGCGCGCGCGCAACGGAAGAAACGCGTATATCCCCGTCCGATGGTGAAGCCGCGTCGCTTAGACCCGGAGTGTCGCTCGGCACCCTTCGGCCGTGTCGCCGTCGAAATAGTTCTTGTGTGCACCGGTGTCAGACGGAAAAGTAAGGCAGGCCGCACGTCGAAGAAACCAATTTTAACGAAACGTGAAACTTCGGTTTCATGAAACCGTTCAATTGAAAATCAAATAGATACGCACACTGAGTTTGACGAAACGAAAATTTCTCACTGTTGCGCAACCGCGGTTTCATGAAACTTGTAATTTTGGTTTCAACAATAAAGTTTCGTATAAATTACGAATGAATAATAATAATAATAATATAATGTATGCGTATACATAATTAATATTATATTATTGTACATTTTGAGTTTTTCTTCTGGTTCCAAAGCCGTTCTGCAGTTAGTATTTTTCTTTGTTAATGTGTGGTCCGACTAACTGCGCTAAACGATGAAAAGCGTCTCGAGACATTCTGTAGAAACAACGGAATTTATCCTCACCGGCGGTTAATTCCTTTGCAACCGCGTAGCCACTATGCCGTTTATCTTTTAAAAGTGGACGAATCCAATAGAAACGTTTCATTTCTTTGTTACGAAGCCACCAATACGACATTAACACCGCCTCCATCGTCAGACGACATTGTCGAAACTATACATTTTTTTTTTTTTTTTTTGTGTTCCACCGGTGTACGCGAATACGAAATCAGTTTCATGAAATCGGTTTCTCAAACAAATTCCTTCAGTGTGCAGCCCGCCTAAAACGTCTCGGAGCCACCGCGGTACGATAGTTGCGTGTACGACGCGCCCGCGTTTTGTTCGACAAAAAATGACCGTAAACGAGCGTTATGTTATTTATAGGACGTTCATGACGGCCGTTTAGCGATCGTGTCGTCCGGCGGTCGCGCCGTTTATGGAGTTCGTTGTACGGGATTTCGTTTGCTCATTGTATCGCGGGAACTGCGTACGAAACGTATGCCGGCTTCCGCGGGACCAAAGTCGCGCGCGAGATAATAATATTTATACACGCAGATAAGAATGATACGCAAATACGAAAATCCGTCACATTTATATGCGCGCCCGATGTGCCGGACAGACGCGCGATGTAAACTCCGCAGGCCCGTATTTTACGCACGTCGTTCCGGCTTACTCGGTAAACGCGATCCAACGTAGAACACTTACGGCGAAAAGACGGACGGAGGGCGGGCCGCTATCGCAGGCGATGGGAAGGCATATTGTGGAGGGGAGTTTGATTTCGATCTGCGTGCAACGGTGAATCGTTGCCCATACGAAGAAAAAAACGATTCGGAGCGAAGTCTATTCTATATACGTTTTCCCGTTTTCCCATACCCCCGGTTTTCGCCGGTTATTACTGTATGAAAACCGCTCGGAAATTCAAAAAACCGACAGACATTTTATTTTTTTTTTTTCTATTTTCTCGTACCGACGGTTTTGTATAAATACTGATTTCGAAAACCAACGCGAGACAGCGATTATCAACCGACGTGTCATTCGGTTCTTCGGTCAGTTACTCGCGTGTCCGTATCCCGGGTGGCTGGTGAGAATGTTGCCGTGAAAACACAGAGACAATCGCCGGGTCGACGATCGATCCGAACCGTTCTACGAAATTTCATCTTGAAACTACGCGTGTGCTCCAGTCGAGTCACGCCGAACGGCTCGGTTTTGTCGGACACAAATCGGTTGTTACGGACCCGGCTTTTGAACTCCCGCTGTTGCGCGACGCACGCTGCACAGTTCGAATTCCACGCCCGCTCGCACGCATACCGAACGCTATGCCGGGGCCGCGTTCGCGATTGCCACGCGTGTTACGGCGTTACGCGCGATGAAATTGCGAATTTATTTACGGACGGGAGACGCGTTCTCGTTGGAGCGTTTTTTTTTTTTTTTTTTCGGAAAAAAAAATAATAATAATAATAAAAAAATATTTTCCCCCGTACGGACGTGCGTGACCGACGATAACGCCCCGGTCCCGACCGCGGCTCTGCAGCGTGCGCGTGCCGTCGGTCTTCGGGGATTCCCGGTATCGTTAAAAAATACTTTTGCGTACGGCGTATCTGCACGCGCGCGCGGGGCGGGCGACCGTCTCCCCGCGCGTAATATTGAACAAAAAAAAAAAATAAAAAAATCGTCCGATCGATATAAAACGATAAAAACGCGTACTTGTATTATGCGCGTGTACGCACAACACGTGCGCCCGGCGAATTTGTTTTTACCGCCAGCCCGATAAAAATACGAAACCGTTTAACGCGGCGCACAGGCGATAGCATTCCGGTCGACAAACTCCTCGGATACCTATTGGGTGTGTATGCGCACGACAAATCGGGTTAAGAAAAACCGACCGAACATTCGATTACAATAATAATAACAACACCAATACTATAATAAGCCCCCCTCCTATTGCGGTTTATTATTATTATTATTATTTTTTTTTTTTTTACTAAACGGAAAAGTATAATATTACCTATAATGTTTTACGGCCGGTAATATTACGCCTGCCACGTGTGTAACAACACACAGTATTCCGTAGACGCGGTTTACACACTGCGTTTCGTTATTATTGCGTATGTGCGCGTGCGCGAATAATCGTCATAATAATCATTTGTATAAGTATATATACACAGTGTTCGATTGGGCGTCGATTCGATAGGATTTTCAAATGTAAAGGAAATAAACGATAGTATCATAGCGGAATTAGGCGTGGTTCTGGCCTGTAGTCAAGGTAACTCGGTATAACGAACATACATAAAACCGAAATATTGTACGCATTTCGTTGTTAGTCTTTTGAATTGCGTAAAATCTCGACATTTTAGATTCTGAGTGGAGCGAAACGGCGTGTGGTTTTACAAAGGTGTTTACTTTTTTTTATTTGCGGGCAACTTTTCTTCCAGAAATCTTAATCCGTGTAGCACCTTTTCTGAATGGAAATCGGTGTGGAGAGGTACTTTGGTGGGGTTTTTTTTCCGATTTTCCTAGGAGTTTTCTCATCAAATTTGAATAACCGAGAAAAAACTGGGGAAAATGTACGAAATGTAGGTATTAGTTAAAAAATATTACGGCCTTCTTTTATTCCGCGAACGGCTTTTGTATCAGCAATTTTGCTCCGATTTACAATGATAGCGCTTTTTCTGGAAGGAAATCTGCGTGAAAAAATTAATCAAAAACGCGTTTAAAAAAAAAACATAAGAAGTAATATTTCTGAAAAAGTATTTTCCGAGAAAAAAACACATTCTTGTAAAACTAATAGCTATTCTTTGCTATATTCAGAATCTAATGTAAACAATATAATTTATAATATTTACTTTCATTACTAAAATATTTGATAAATTTGCGTTCTTTGCCCGCCTATAAACTCAAGGTTTTTTTTCCCAGCTAACACATTGTCCGTATATTATTTAGATATTATGAGTAATGTTTTTCCGTGGACTTTAATTCCCCGCCTCACTATACACCATATGCGCGATGTCGGTTTGGTTATAATCTGCTATAGTATTTCACATCTTTTGAGGAGTGACATGACAAAAATCTAAACATTTTCCCTGAACGACAAAATGTTTCTCGAGAAAAAAAAACCCTCGTATCCTAATAAATCTAATATCTTCTTCGGTGCACTCTGCATTTGATTACCGTTACGCGTGTTGTTCTCGCCAAAGAGTGGCCATTGCCACAGGTATATTGGCGCGCATTAAGGAGGGGGACGTTTGTTTTCGGCAAGAACACCGTAAGACAGTCTTTATCAATATAATAATTATTATTATCGTTACCGTGTCCCGACGGGGTTCCGATGACGTTATAGACGACCGGGTGTTCGTTCGGGTGTTCGCATCCGGTGAAAACAGAAAAAAAAAACAACTGTTCGAATCGTCAAACCCGATGTATAATAATACTCAGCAATAACAATAATAATAATATTAATAAAAAAAAAAACGTAGTTTTCTGTCGCGCGTTTGTACTTCCGAAATGGTCCGGTACGTTTAAAAACACGGTGAGGCGTAAAATAAAATAGGTAATGATAAAAAAAAAAAAAAACCAAAACGATTGGGTTCGACGTTTCGGTTGGGAAGCAATCTGTGTCTGCGATTATGAGAACACCGACGTCGTCGCTGCGGATCACAAACCATCGTGCAGCGGGTATACGAAAAACCGTATATAATAACAATAGAACAATAATTTGTGTGATAAATGGTAAAAAGGGAAATTCGACGAACCGGCGTTTGCGCGTTCTGAGTGTGTTGAGCGTTGAATCACGGAGACGCGATAAAAACCGACGCGAAAATAAGATGGCCGATAGGATTAGGATTTGGGGACGGATACAATGTGAGATTTGTATAGTCTAGGAGCCCGGAGCAGTGGTGTGTTTTCTCTAGATGGGTATATTTTTATATTTCATCTTGATTCTTGATAAACGAGAAATAATTTTCCGAATCGTCATCCGAGATGAATACTGGATTAATCTCGATAAATCTTTTAAAATCGTAATTTATATAATATGTACACGTACTTATTAGAAATACCTAATAAAATTTACATCAAAATATGGTTAGATAAAATAAATTGTTAAGTAAGCGCACAATCTATTTTGTATCTCGATACCATATCCGGTACGCTTTTAGCACTTAGTTTTTGTAACATCTTAGGTTAGATAATGAACAACATCATATAATATTATGTGTACATTTTTTTTTTAAATCTAGACAATTAAATCGTTATGTACATTTGTGCGTATTCTCGTCTTGGTAATTATTCCAGAAATTATTTCTCATTTTTACTCATAGATGTTTAAATATGTATTGTGTAGCTTGCCCAATTCGAGAGGTGTTGAGATGCGGTATTACGACGGACGTGTCGAGAGAAAGGTAGACGCGAAAATTCTACCAAGAAAATAGCGTAGACGGATGCCGAAGAAGAGATACGGGCCAATGAAAAATGGTTTAGAGGTGATTATTAATTGTAACGAAGATAGGGCGCGTGTAGTAGACGAAGAAACGGTGATGCTGATGCATATATGCATACGGAGAGATCTATAGAGAGATGTGCAGGGTGTCAATTATATTATTTCGCACATGGGTGTGGTCTGCACGTATTGATGACGCGTGAGTCGAATTTAAATTTTCATAAATATGAAATTCGTTTTATCCTCGGACATATTCCCGAAATATGTCTGAATTTTAGATTCTGAGCGAAGTGAGGAATGTATTAGTTTTACAATGATGTTTATTTTTATAATTTTTATACTGTAGTGTACAAAAATTCTACCAGAAATCTTACTCTGATGTATCAAGTGTAGCACCTTCTCTGAAAGAAAATTTGAGTACTCTAGAGAAGTAATTTATGGATCTTCCAAGCGGTTTTCATAATAATTGGGAAAAACTGAGAGAAAACGGATAATTTATAAAATCAATAATTTTCAAATTTTTTTTTTTTGTGATTTAGTTAAAAATATTTGTAGAATACGTCTAATGGTTTTTATTTCTAAACATGTACACTTTTCAAAACATTTTAGCCATTTTCGAGCTATTTAAACAAAAATGCTTGACAATTTACCAGGAGTTTCATTTTAAGTCGTACTTTTGGACAAAAATTAAAATAAGTGTAATGTAGAGTTTTTTTTATAAGAATTTTCATATCAAATTTTGACGAAAATATTAAGGCGCCTTTCAAAACATGTTGCGTACAGATAACCAAACCTAAACTAACCTGTCCCTCCCCTCTATACTCTATCCTCCAAACTTCTCACGTATCAGTGGCCCGTCTATCGTACGACGTATGTCCGTTTTTTTTTTTAATATTATCATTTTGATTTTAAACGAAAAAAACCCTAAACAAATAAACGTTGGAATTGATTTTGCTCGAAAACCTTTCGAAATGTTCTTGTATGTAGTTTACCACCGAACTTTGGACTGTTGAAATTTCCATCGGTTCCCGAGAACTTTCCCTATAAACTGTTGTTTTTTGATTCGATTACAATCAACTGTATATACGTATATATAGTAATTTACAGTCTTCTCAGTGTTAAATATATCCTCGGATTATGTGATGGGCGCGTACCTGGACGGCATCCGGTTATACGCAAGTTGTAATTATAAACGAATATGCATTCCGTTCTGTTAATTTAACCTACGAATTATATTTCCGCGTGTAATAAAAATATTATGCATACGTAAAACTATCGGCGTACCGGACCGCGTCGTCGTCGTGGCGATATCAATGTCGTCTCTTCCAAGTGTACGTTCTCTCTAGAAGGGAGAGGAGAAGCTTTTACCTCGTTATCTAATAGATTACAATAAAAAAAATAAAATTAAAAAAAAAAAAAAAAAAAACGAAGAAAGAATGTAAACATTATTCCACCAAGCGGTGTATGCAATTTATACTATAATTCACGTGTGTTCATTTTTTCGAATGGCATTAAAAAATATTTCGTTCGGTTGAACTTGTGTCGGTATAATTAAATTTTCGGAATATAATAGAAACAGAAAATTACTGAGACAGAAATTTAAGAATAAATTTAAAATATTTACCCTTTATAATGTTAATCCTTTAGGTGCGTGATAACGTTTACATGGTCTTAAACGGAAACTGCACTTGTTTTGAACGCATCAGATTCGCAAAGTACAATTTTATTCAAACAAATTTGACTAATAAAATTTTTTTCTATATCTCAACATTAACATTCGTCCAAGCCACCAAATTTAGATGATATATGATCCTTTTAAGTTTTGCGTTTAAACGATTTTTTTGAATCGTCGACAAAAATCAAATTTAAAAAAAAAAAAAACTTTAAATGGCTTGTAATTGGGTGACTTTTAATATAAATAGATACAATTCATGGCATAAATATACACAGGAATGTCAGCTAGATAACGAAATTATACTATCATTTCTCGTTTTCGACAGTGTCAGCCATATTGCATCTGATAAAAATTTGGCGCCGAACAAAAAAAAAAAATTAATTAAAAAATTCCTTTTTTTTTCGTATAATTTTACTATAATACCACGTTTAATAACTAATACTGATAACTTTTAAACTTAATATCAAATAAAAGTGATACTAATATATATATAGTCTACGATGTACGCCAGTGGCGGCCATGTTTTATGCACACTGTTGTCTTACGCTGAAATACCTGTATATTTATGCCATGATCAGTGCGGAGGGTACGATTTGTGGGGGTTTGGCAATTATTTTTTTTATCGCGCGAGCCTCAGTATTTTATTTTAAAGAGAAGTAGGTGGACATTCAGCACGCCTTTAAATATATATTTGACTGATTCAAAATTGCACAGAGTATTTAATAAAATAAAATATATATAAATTATTTAATCTTCTTTAATAACTATATTCTTCAACACATAATTATACATTTTTCATAAATAAATCACCAATCCTTTGTAATGTATAAGTACATTTAAACACAAAATGATAATGCAACAATATTGGTTGTGTTAATTTAGGACATTTATTTTTTTGATAAACAACAAAATATGTTTTTTTTTTATTTTGTCTTTTTCTTATGAAAATTTATCGATTATTGTGCCATACGACAAATTTTCAGCCAAAACCCATTTCCATAGCAATCTAATAATGTACTATAGAGGTCATGTTTAAAAAGTGTTAAGTATTTTAATTTTGAATATATATAAAATTGATACCCTACAGGTTACGGGTTAGTTTTTTTTTTTTTATTATTTAAAGTATTAACGTTTAAGTAAATAAGTTAAAGTAAATATGGGAGTATATAGTAAATTATAAATACAAGGAAACATTTACTTTTTAAAGATTAATAGTATATCATACTTATAGTATTATCATAATTTATGAGATGCTAAAGTTTGATGATATTCAAGTCGAAAAACTGGCTACTTTTTTTTCCCAAAAATACACTAAAACGAGTTACGAATGGTTCGAAGCCTACGCACGGGGTCGTGCAAGTGCGACCGGCACTCTTCGCACCGTCCTACCGCCGACTCTGGCCACCAATAGGTACAGATTGTATTCAATAGTCTCTTGAAGAAAATATGCAGACGTAATTTCTGGATCTGGTGTAAAAAATAGACGTTCTTTTAAAATAAAAATGTAAGGGTTAGTTACCCGGAAAAACGAACAAACTGAATAAAACGGGAAAAAAAACGTTTCAACGGAACTGTCCAAAAATAAAAAAAAAAACACACAATATTTCTACGATAACATTTTTAATTTAGTTTTTAACATTTGTACCGCACGTATATCGCAGGCTGACTGATAAAATAATATTATGATGTGTTCGCGTTGACTTTTTATATAAGATTCGGGTTTTTTTTTTTTTTTTTTT